AACATCAGAGGCTGGAGAGTGCGCCCTGGCAAACTGCCCCAGTGGGTAACACTATGAAAACCTGCTCCTTGCGTCTCCTGCAAATGCATCCAGCTACTCGGTGCAATTCACAGAAAATTCAGGTTGGAAATGACCTCAGGAGGTCACACTGAGTCCAACCCCCTGCTCCAAGCAGGACCAGCCCCAACTACATCATCCCAGCCAGGGCTTTGTCTAGCTGGGTCTTAAACACCTCCAAGGATGGAGATTTCTCCAGCTCTCTGGGGAGATTGTCCCAGTGCTTCACCACCCTCCTAGTGAGAAAGCTTTTCCTCATGTCCAACCTCAACTTCCCTTGCTGCAGCTTGAGCCCATTGCTCCTTGTCCTGCCGTCTGCCCCCGCCGAGAACAGCCCAGCTCCGTCCTCTTTGCAGCCCCCCTGCAGGGAGGTGACGGCTGCTATTCAATCCCCCTCGGTCGTCTCTTTTTCAGACTAAACAATCCCAATTCCCTCGGCCTCTTTTGGCAAATCATTTGTCCCATCCCCCAAACCATTTTCATTGCCCTCCGCTGGACTCTCTCCAATGTGACCACCTCCTTTCTGCAGTGGGGGGCCACAGCTGGACACCGGACTCCAGATGTGGCCTCCCCAGTGCTGAATAATGACTTCCCTCAATGTGCTGGCAAGGCTCCTACAACGCAGCCTTCCCGGCAGCAAGGGCGCACTGCTGGCTCCTATTCTGCCATTGCCTGGAGTCTCCGGTGCGGACCAATTTCTGCTCGGCTGTCCCGACCCCCCCGCTGCCCCTTCTCCCAAATCTCCCGGGGGTCGCCGGGACCCTTCTCTCTGCTCCGCTGCAAACTGCTGCCATCTTAGCCCTAAATCCCAGCGACAACATTGCTCCTGCAGCCTCTGAATCACCCTCCCGGGCCCGCAGCCACCTGCCCGGCGCTACCTGGCCAGGAGCGCCGTGCGTGCGCGGGGGCCCGATCCGGCTGCTCCGTGCAAGGAGCGGCCCCGGCCCGCTCCCAGCCGCCCGCCCGCCCGCCTGCAAGGGGTGCGGAGCATCGCGGGGAGCCGCCTCCCT